TTTTATGTATCGTATTCCATAGGAATATAACTTATTTAATATTCCTCTAATATTGACCATAAAGGTTTCTTCCTTTTATTTTTGTTCTTAAAAATACTGTGTAACTCCTAAACTTTAAGTGTACCCAACTTTTTACACTACAGATACAGTACATTTACATGTATAAATTATTCATTGTATATGTATAAGTGATTGTTTTTTAACTTTTTATTTTTAAATAATTATAGACTTTAGAAAGTTGCAGAAACAATGCAGAGTTTCCATGTAACCTGCTTCCCCTAATGTTAACACCTTACATAAGTGTGGTACAGTTATAAAAGCTAAGAAGTTAACCTTATTATAATACTATTAAATAACCTACAGATTTTATTTGATTTTATCAGTTTTTCCACTATCATCTTTTCTTCCAGTGCAGGATTCCATCTGAAATCAGACATTGCATGTAGAGGTCATATCTTCTTTGTCTTCTTTGAGCTGTGATGGTTCTTCAGTCTTCATCTTTGACCTGAGACTTTTGAAGACTCCTTCACTTATTTTGTAGAATACCCCTCAATTTTGTTTTGTCTGATGTTTACTTATAATTATAGTGAAATTATTCATATTTGGCAAGAATGGCAGGGAAGAATGTACCCTTCTCAGTGTATTGTATCAGAATGTGTATGATGTCAGTGTCTCCTCACAGGTGATATTAATCTTGATCACTTGGCTAAGGTGGTGTTTGTCAGGTTCCTCCACTGTAAAATTATTATTTTTTCTTTGTGATTAATAAATATCTTGGTGTAGGTACTTTGAAATACTCAGATATTCTGTTTCTCCTTAAACTTTCACCCACCTTTTCAGCAAATATCAGTAGGTTTTGTTTGCAACTACTATTACTGTATTCTTCTAATGATGTTTTTCTCTTTTTCTCATTCTTTCTACATTTATTAATTGGAATATCTCTGTAAGGAAAAGCTGTTTCCTGTCTCCTATTTATATATCTATTTAGTTATTTATGAACATAGTATGGATTCATTCACTTTTGTTTTGTGAGTTATAATACAATACTATAGTTATTTATCTTATTGTTTAGTTGCCCAATGTGGGCCATTAAGAGTTCTCTCAGGTAGCATTTGTGCCCTTTTAACATGCCCCTATCTTCCTTTGAGATTTTCCTTACTTTCTGGCACATCTTAAATATCCCTGCTGCTACACTGGAACCAACCAGTCCTTTGGTTTCTTTTAGTTGGAAGATGCTTTGGTTTCTTTAGTTGGAAAATGGTATTTAGAAACCAAGATGTGGGCATTGAGTGTGCTCATTACTACTGTGGTAACCCTGCTTATGAGCATTCATTGTTTTTTTCTTTTTTTTGCCATTTGTACCCTTTCTCTTAGATTATGACATTCAGAATAGCCATTTATTCTTTTTTTGATGAATACATTTAAGGCTGTAAATTCTCTTCTGAGTACTTTAGTATATAGTGTTTCCATTATCATTTATTTTTAAATAGGTTATAATTTCCACTTTTATTTCCTCTTTGGCCCAAGGATCATTAGATGTATGCTTAACTTTACATGTATGCAGATTTTTTGACTGCCTTTTTGTTTATGTAAGTTTTTCATGTAATTTTAATTGTAGGCAATGAATGTCAGTATATGATTTTTTTCTTTTTAAGACTATATTAAATTTTCAATTATAGCCCATTACATGGTCAGTTTTTGTGGTTATATGATGTATTTGGAAGAAATGATTATTAGAGATAAGTTCCAATTACATATATACATCAAGTTTGTTAATTATGTTATTGAAATCCTCAATATCTCTACCTATTTTTTCATGCCATTGTGATCATTCCACTTCTGTGAGAAATGTAATACATCCCATTATGATTATTAATTTGTTCTCTCTCATTGACTTTTAACAGATTTTTCTTCTCTATTAATTTATTGTTTTTAGATGTGACTCCTGAAAACATTTGGTTGATTTTTTTTCTCTAAGTATGCTAAGAGAAATACTTGTCAGGGCACAATGTAGGGCTGAAAATAGGATTCAGTAAAAATATTTAAAAAGTGCACTTAGGCTTTCAGAACCTCTCTCCCATCATTCCTCCCCAGAGACTTATAATTGTCCTGACTCTGGCAGATGGCATAGGTATTATCAAAGCAGATATTTCCTACCTGATCTGTCCACAGAAGCTCATTATTTAACTATTTCTACACGCACAGAGAAGCTTACAGATAGCATTTTAGTACCTCATTCATTAGTTTTTTGAAGATAAATTATTATAATACCCATGAATACGGTTTCAAAGATTACCAAGATTTGCTTAGAAGCGTTTCATCTGTCTCTTTTTTTGTTTGCTGAAGTAATTTGAGGCAAATTCAAGACTGCATGCTATTTTCATCCCTGTTTAATTCAGTGTGATGTGCTATTTCTTTATTATTCTTCCCAAATTAGCAAGTTGTTCAGTATTATCTAATTCCAAGTCCATAATTAAATTTCCTCAATTAAAAAATTTTTGTTACAGTTTGTTTGAATCTGGTTCTATACAAGATCCATGTCATATTTGATTGTAACTATTTTGCTTCTCTTTTACCTAGAAACATCCCCACTCCCGTTTCTCCCTTTGTCATCTTTACTTGTAGAAAATGGACCAATTGTCCTTTAAGGGCCTCATTCATAAATGAATAGACAACAAAAATCTCCAGACTCTCAAGGGAAGCCACAAATGTGAAAGACAAAAGGAAGCAAAGAAAAAAAAAACCCTAGAGAGAACAGAAGCAGTGCAATGAGCTTTAAAGAAGAAAATATGAAAAGAATCGGTATAATTATCCTAAAAAAAATAAGAGAAGAAATTGTATCCATGAAATAAGAACAAAAGGTAGTGAAAAGATGGCCTTTTGGAGAATAAGAAATAATTCTTGGTAATTAAATGTGATAGCAGAAATTTAACATTTCATAGGCAGGATAGAAGATAATGAAAATAGGAAAAAAATGACAAAACTGGTATGATGGCAAAAAAAGTTAAGAAAGTAGCAGATCTCTCCTGGAGGTACCACATCCAAAATAATAGAAAGATGTTCCAGAGGGAAAACAGAAAATAGAGGGGAAGGAATTATTCTCCCTTGGGGAAAATTCCTGAAACTAAAGAACGTAAGTTTCTATAGCAAACATTCACCATGTGCCCAGCATGGGAGATGACAAAAGACAAACATGAAGATATATTGTGATCAAATTTAAGAATAGTCAGTGAAAAGAGAGAGGTTTTAAAACGTCTACCCTAGGATGAGGGCAGGGTGGAGAGGACCTACCAAGTGTCCTATCAGACGGTTAGAATTAGAATGTCTTTGAACTTCTCAGAAGCAGCACTGGAAATTAGGAAACAGTGCAACAATGCCTTACTTTGCTGATAAAAAATACTTTTCTCATTTATAATTCTGTGTCGAGCCAAACTATCTAGACATTTTCATATATTCAAGTTCTCAAATTTGCCTCCCATGCACAGAAAAAGCTTCTGGAGAATTTACTCCACCAAAAAGAGTAAATGAAGAAGGGGGGAGACTTTAGAATCAGTATACAGGAGATTCGACATGATAGAGAGCTGAGGACGATTCCTGAAATGGTGAGGAGAGGAGGCCCCAGGATGACAGTTGCATAGTCGAACCAGGGCATAAATAGACTGGAGCAGAGGAACGGAGAGGTCTAGAATGGCTCTGTCTCCTGAAAAAGAATTGATGTGGAAGTGTTACCTGCTGTGTCTGAAGGTATCGAGAGAGGAAAATAACACATCTCAGATTTGGAAGAAGTGACAGTGATAGGTACACAGAAAACTAAGAAGCAAAAGAAATTTTCATTAATCAAAGGACAACAAAATGTTGTACAAGTTAAGAAGTGTGATCATGATATAACATGTAGCACACTCGTAAAGAATAACATAAACCTGAATAAAAAGGTTAATTTAATTATATTGGGAGGATGAGGAGAGGAAGAATGTATGTGTGTCAATTTGTGTGTAAATATGTAGGTATATAGGTATGAGTAGGGGGGTCAATTCTTATTAGGATTGTGTAGAGAATGGGAGCTGCCTCCCCTAACATCCATTCTCCCTTCCTCCCTAGTAATAGAACTCTAGATACATCTGGGAGCTAATCTTTCCAGTTAAAAGGCTACATTTTCCAGCTTTACTTGTAGGTAGGTATGGCCATGTGTGTAAGTTCAGCAGAAGTATTCAGTGGTACTTCCAGGGAGCCTCCTTAAGAGGGACAAAGAGCCATTATTTTATTGCTGCTGGTCTGGAATGGGAAAGTAATTGTTGGGGTTTCTGGTACTATCATGGTCCGTGAAAATAAAGGACACCCGCCAAAGATGGTATACAAAAAAACTGAAAGAAATGTGTGGCTTTGATGACACTACAAAGCCACTGGACTGGCTACCAGTACATTTGTCTTATGCAAGAACAATATACTCTTGTACATTTAAGCCATCATGTTCAGGTCTCACATGTAGCAAAACCAGATCTTAATTGATTTGTAATATACTAGACAATATTTAGTGAAAAAAAAATTGGAAGTACTTGTTTGGGGCAGTGGAATCTGGGGTAAAAGAAAATTATTACTATTTTTTCTTATGACTGTTAGTAATGTTCTACATTTTAAATTGTGTACATGTACTTAATGAAAATTAAATTTCTATTTGTTTAGGTACATTTTAATTATTTCATGTAAAAATACATGTTCATTGTAAAAATTCAAACAGTGCAAAAGAAACAGAGTAAAAATTATGCCTCCCTTCAATATTCCTTGCTTTTCCCATGCCCATCAGTTCCACTCTCCACCCCAGGGATAATACCTATTTTATATGTGCCTCTCCATATTTTTTGTGTATTCATTTAGCATATATAAACATGCATAGTGTTCTTCTTTAATTTATTTGTATTAAAAGGGCATTTAAAATTTAATTTAACAAAGTACTCATAAGGGAATTTAAACTTGGAATGGATGTTGTTTGTTTATATTTTCAGAATTCAACATGCAAGCATGCAGTTAAAAAGTCAACAAAGTGAATTTCAGAGAGTACAGAAAGAACTGAGTCAGTCTCAAGAAGAGTTAAAAATTAAACAGAGACAATCACAAATCTTGAGGTAAGATTATCATTAAAGAATTGAAAACTAAAGATTGAAAAGATATATTTAATACTAACATTATAAACATTCAAACACATTTTAGTAATATAGTTTCTGTATTCAGTGTGGTTGAAAAAAATGGAAACAACTTCACTTTTTTTTAACCATTATTTCAATTGAATAGGTTTATTTTAAAATTTAAATCAGAAAAACACCTTGTTCTTATTTTGCAGTGATACTCAAATAAAAGCACAGTAACCAATTCACTTTCCTCTTTTTTGTTTCCTGGTGTGTTTGATTCCCTGACTGATATAGTCCCTTGACACAAAAAGTAATAGAGAAACTTTCCAAATCATGGTATCTTAAAAATATCCAGCATAACTGGTGTTAATTCTGCTGTTATATAATCTTTGGAAGGTATATAATATCTAGAGGTAAAGCCCAGTGTTTGAAAGAGACTATGAAGTACATTTTCTTTAATAAAAATGCAATTGAATATATTGAAAACATCATAAAGAATGATTCCTTTTCAAATTGAGTAATTTTTAGGATTTAGAAAAGGGAAATAAGTTAAATGAACATTATAAATAGCCACAGGTTCAGGGTGACTAAAAAAATACACCAGATGAATATTTTGAATGTTATCTTCTCCCTTTTTTTGGACTGATCCTTTGCTTTATTTTTTTAATTTTTTTATTGAGGTATTGTTGATGTACACTCTTATGAAATTTTTACATGAAAAACAATGTGGTTGCTACATTGACCCATATTATCAAGTCCCCCCCATAGCCCATTGCAGTCACAGTCCATCAGTGTAGTAAGATGCCACAGAGTCATCTAAAATCTCTGCCCTTTCCTTGAAATCTGTTATTCAACTGGCAGAATATCATCCAGGTGATCCCAACTCTATTATTTTAGTCAGGATCATCAGTGTTCAGTCTTTGTTCCTACAGTAGCTTTGGCCCAGTCTGCTAATGAAATCCCATTTGTTTTATCCACTAATGCTATCATGGATGATAGGATTGACTAATTTTTTAAGGTTATACCAGGACTAGATTAAATAATAATTCTGCTTCAAGATATTATGGACAGATACAATTAATTTTCATTGTTCATATTTTACATGTGATTTTTAGTATATTGTATGCTTTTGAAAAAACTTAGACATACATATTTAATTGTTAGTTTATTCTAGTTCTAATTTTGTCATTCTGAGTTATACTTTTAATTGCTTATTTTTTTCAAATGTTTTCAAAAGATCTGTGATTTTTATATATTTTTAGCTATAAGAACACAAATTGGAAGTCTAGGATCTCATTCATGCAAAAAAGTAGCACTTACTAAAAACAATTTTGGAAGTGACCACCCAACTGGATACTTAGTATAAATCAAAGTTTGTGAGAGACAAACAAAGATAGTTACTCTCACTCATAGGTACTTTACATAGGAAAAGGTAGTCTGGTGAAAAGAAAATCAAAACAAAGGTTGTAGATTTCAGTGATTTTGTTGCATTACTAAAAGTTTATTTTACACTAGTTTATTGATTATTTAAAAAATATTTATTAGAATGTAAAACAGTGATTTCTGTGGATAAACAAAAGGAGCTTATATTCTCTCTTAATTTGGTAAAGATGCATGAGCTTTAGCTACTCAGGTGTAATCATCTTTATTTATGAAGCCCAAAAAGAACTCTCAATAGATAAATGAACTATGTCTCTGAGTCACAGTGCTCTTTTTAAATTATTCTCTCATTTATTTAATTGCAATTGGGTTTAATTACCTAGCCTCCAGCAAAGTGTTCTTCATGCTCTATGTTTTCCTGACATCATTTCCAACCTGTCTCTTGCAAGGGAGTGATCAAGAGTAGGTGTAGTGTGCCTCAGTTGATTCAGCACATCGGTTATTCAGAAGAAAATGTCTCTTGAGAATGGAAATTATATTTAGAGGACCTGTAAAATAAACACTAGAAACATATGTAATATAGGTATACTTTACTTCACGTAAAATGGTATATAAATCCAAATTCCAAATCAATCCATATTTGAAATATTTTAGCAATGTTTACTTTTAGAAGATTCCTATTGTGAATCTTTTATAAATTGTTTGAAATATAAAGCATTTGTGCTTTAATTTTTCTTATTTGTAAATCTAGACCGTCACCTCTGAAATTTTCACTGCCAAGCCCCCAAATCTCTCACAGCCCTCTCACTTTAATGTTAACTGCTCAGCCTCATTTAGGCTTCCACTATTTTTTTTTCCAACCATTTTCTGGCTTTACTTTGTTTCCCAGCTTTGATCCCATAGTTTATCACCTCACATCTATTTAAGTACATACATAAGTATTTATTTAGCTTTATTGTGATATAAGTACATACATAAAGTACAAAATCCACCCATTTTAAGTGGACAAAATAATGATTTTTAGTAAACCTACTGAGTTGTGCAAACTTTACCACATCTAATATTAGAATATTTGAGTCACACCAAAAAGATCCTTCTGCCATTTGCAATCAGTCTCTGCTTTTAGCACCAGTCCTAGGCAACCACTAACCTACTTCCATAGATTTGTATTTTTCTGGACATTTTGGATATATGGAATTGTACAATATGTGGTTTTTTGCATGAGGCTTCTTTCACTCACATTTTTGAGGTTCATCCTGTTGTATCATGCATCAATACTGCATTCCTTTTTATTGCTAAATAATATTCCATAGTATGAATATACCACATTTTATTTATCCATGTACCAGTTGATGGATATTTGGATTGTTTCTGCTTGTTAGTGCTTATTAATAATGCTATTATAAACATTCATGTATGAGCATTTGTGTGGGTGCATATTTCATTTCTCTTATGTCCCTATGTGTGGTATTACTGAATCACATGGTAAATTTATATTTAAGTTTTTAAGAAATTGCCAGAGTATTTCCCAAGTGGCTGCACCATTTTACATTCCTTCGAGGAATGAGGATTTAGGATCTCTGTATTTTCTGCTAGTACTTCTTATTGTCAATCTTTTTTTATTTAAGCCATTCTAGTCGGTATGAAATAGTATATCACCGTGGCTTTGATTTGTGTTTTCCAAATGATCAATGATGTTGAGCATCTTTTCATGTGCTTATTAACTTTTTGCCTACTTATTTGGTGAAATATCCATTAAAATACTCTGCCGAATTTTTCATTGGCTTGTTTTTGTGTTATAGGGTTGTAAGAGTTCTTTATGTATTTTGGTTAAAGTCCTATATTTGAAATATGATTTGCAAATATTTTCTCCCAGTGTGTGACTCTATTTTAATTTTCATAATGGCATCCTTTGAAGGGCAAAAGTTGTTATTTTTAATGAAATATAATTTATCAATGTTTTCTTTTTTGGACTGAGCATTTGGTAATGTGTCTAAGACCTCTGCCTAACTAGAGGTCACAAAGATTTTTTCTCCTGTAATTCTAAAAGTTTTATAGTTTTTAGTTTTTGCATTTAGGTCTGTGAATCATTTTGAATTAACTTTGTGAATTATGTAATGGAAGTATCTAAATTCATCTTTTTCATGTGGATGTTCAATTGTTCTGGCACTATTTGTTTAAGACAGTTTTTCCATATTGAAATGTCTGGGTATCTTTACCTAAAATCAATGCACCATGAATGCAGGGAATTGTTTTCAGGCTATTTTATTCCATTAATTTGTATGTCTTTTCTTATGTCCATACCACATTCTCCTGAGTACTGCAGTTTTTATTAAATTTTGAAGTCAAGAAATGTAATTCCTCCAAATTTCTTTGTTTTCAAGATTGTTTTGGCTATTCTGGGTCCCTTGCATTTCCATATGAATTTTACGATCAGTTTGTCAATTTCTGCAAAATAGCCTGTTGGGGTTTTGATAGGTATTAGCATTGAATTTAAAGATAAATTAGGGGATAATTTCCATTTTAAGAACATTGAATCTTTCAACCCATGAACATAGTATATCATTCCATTGATATTTTTAGTCCTGAGAGAGATGTTTTGCCTTTAGCATACAAGTTTTGCATTTCTTTAATTAAAATTTTTTCTATGTATATTCATTCTTCGTTTTGATGTTATTATGAGTGGATTGTTAATTTTATTTTTGGAATTGGTCGTTGCTAATGTACAGACATAAAATTGATTTTTCCATATAGATCATGTGTCCTGTGACTTTGATGAAACCATTTATTTTTTCTACTGTATGTGTATGCCTTAGGGTATTCAACGTAGAGGAAGTTTCTACCTAGAGGTGTCTACTAACTCCTTTTATCTCTGCTCATTTCATTGTAATTACCCTTAAAATTCTAGTGTTGATACCTACATACAGGTTGTTAAACACCAGGCCCTAATTTTTCTAGTACTATTCTAAATCCTCACTATTCTGCTTAGACTCCACTGTGCTACTCTGGGCAGCTGTGTCTCACCTCATATTTCACACAGAAAGTTAAGGTTATCAACACAGGCAGATTTGCCATGAATCAGATATGCTTAAGTTTTAGAACCCCTCACTCAGGAACCTTTTGAAGGTTCCAAGAAGACCCCTGGCAAAAGTAAGATGGTTTAATTGTAATTAGTTTTATTCTGTCTTTTTCCACTCTGATTTCCCCTCTTACACCTCTGATGTTGGTATACCATTGGAATAGTCACAAGCATTTGGAGGATCTGAGTAAGAAAAAGTTGAATTGGGGATACACTATTATAACTTCCATTGGGAAACAAATTTTAGAAAGCTTCAGTAATGCAAGCAAGATATTGCAGGCTACAAATTTGGATGTATATGAATTTTTTTAAATTACTAGAATAAAAGCAATAAAGATGAGCAATTTAAGCCATAGAAATTATTCTGGCATGAAGAAACAAATTGTACCAATTTTTTCAGACTACATCAGAAGCATACTCATTAAGAGAAAGAGACATTGTCAATAAAAGCTCTTGGATTATTTCACAATCCATTCAATGAAGAGGAGTTAATTATTTGAATGCATTGGAGAAAAATTTAAATCTTTCTTGCTAATTTGACAAAAACTACTAATGTCACTAAATATAACAAAAATAATATTATACTACTTCAAAGACATTTAAGATAAATCGGTTCATGAGTTTCATCATTTTAAAGACAATTAAAGATTAGTCACTTTCCAAGAAAACTTGAAATGCCAAAAATCTTATGATAATATATGAAAAAAATTGGATAAGGATTTTTCCAAATTTGACCATACTTAATATTTATATGACACTACCAATGAGCTATGAACCTGAAAGAATCTTTCAAAACTACCAATAATAAAAAACAAATGGCCATGATAGATGAAAGGATGAATATAATCTTTATATTCATTCCACATAAAGTGTTATAAAATGGCCCTCATATGAAGAGATGCTTGTAGAGTATGTAGCCAAAAATCATAGGCAAAGAAATATTGCAGAGCTGATACTTATTAAAAAGTTATATTGCTTCCCTCTATTTTGTGATATTGATGGCATTTATCAACTTGTAAAATTTTATGTGTAATGATTTATCTCATTCTATAAATAATTGCACACTTTTAAACCTAATTTTACAGTCATCATTTTTGTATTCATTTTTTCAAGAAAGCCCCACGACTATAACCAATTATTTAAGATTTAGGACCCACAAAATATGGATCTGCTCTTAGTTAACTTAGTTTAATATTCTGTTTCCTGCCTTTCCCCCTACAGAGGTACCTTCATCCACATCCAGTCTTCTGTTAAATATCCCAGTAGGCCCTGACTCCTCATGTACATGGTCGGCTCTCAGCAGCTGCCTTACACTGGGCCCATTAGCGCCTTAACCTTGACTGACTTCATAGCTCTCATCTCCCTACCTTACCAGTTTCTGGCTCCACGTTCAGAATTCTCATCCTTACTTTTGGTCCCTTTGACTTAGTAATCTATTTGGACTGTTTCTCTGCATTTTAAGATCCATGTCTCTCTTAGCTCCCTGAATTGTGTGTGGATTGAGGCATCCATTTTGACTCTGGTCACTCAGACTTTAAGTACCGCACAGAATGATACCACCCTTCTTCCTGGTGAAGGCTAATCTTTCAGCCTCCACTTTACATCTGTTGCTTTTAGGGCTTTGCACAAAAATGATGGCATCTCTTGTCTGTGTTTTAACCTCTGTGCCTGCACTCATACTATCTGCTCAGCTGTGTACACACCCAGGTGTCTCCCAACCTAACAAACCACTCTACTCTCCCTCTTCCTCTTTCTCTCTTTGCTGCCTCAGTTAAGGTTCTTGATTGTTGGTATCATATAACTGACTGTTTTCTCACTTCTGCTTTACTGCTCAGGGCCTTCCTACCTAATGCATTTCTCTGAAATCACCTGAGGCCTTTGTGCTCAGCCATTGTCTGACGTCTCAACTACTGACCTCCACTTTCTTCTTTAAATTCTCTTATCCCCTGGTTTTCTGGTGTTACTCTTTTGGTTTTTCATCTACCTTACTGATTGCACCTCCCTACTCTCCTTTGAGGGATTTTTCTCTGATTTTGTGCCATAAATATTAGTGTTGTCTACTGTTTTATCTTCATTCCTCTGAGGAATCTATTATTTTCATTCATTCATTCATCAGTATTTGTTAAATAGGTACTATGTAAGGTGCTAGGGAGACTGCAATGAACAAAACAGATGTAGTCCTTGCATTATAGATCTTAGTCTACTCAGGGAGATAAATACTAATCAAATAATTACACTCCCATATCTTCAGTCATCATTTTTGCTCATAATTCCCAAATCTACATCTGCGCCTTGCTCAGTTATTAGGTAAATTATATCCAGGACATCTGAAGTAATAAAATCACTGAGATGGCAATAAATACATGATTTCTTTGAGCTGTGGCATTTCATGAAGCAAAAGCACTGGATCCCTCACTTTGAAAGGTTTTATCTGTTATTAACCTCAGATTTTATACTCCATGTAGTACCATGGTATGAAGGAAGAATGCTAAGAATCTGAGATTTCTCATTTTGGCTCTCTAAGTAACTTTTGACCTAAATTTTCTTCCCTGAATGTTTGCTGTTAAAGAGGTTAGTAGAATAAATGTGTATGGAAATAGGTATCTTTATAGTTAAAATAGTAACACAATGGAAATGAGTTGGGGCAAACATATACCTCAGTTTTCCTGGGATAGTCCCAATTTATTTCTGTCATCTCAGCAAAATACAAATAGCACTTCCTTTCACTTTCAAAATTGTCTCTATTTAGAGAGTAGATTATATGGTTACTCTAAAACTATTTTCTAAAGACAACTATTTTTCAGAGAAGTATTTGTTATTATGCTTGCTATTTATTTAAATACTAATTTTTTTTTTACTACTTTACAGTCAAAGATTGGCAGAGTATAAATATTTCTGGAATAAGACTCTTTCATTACTTACTTTTGTTAAAAGGGAGCTAACCAGTATTAAAAATGAAGTATGTGATAATTTTCAAAACTGGACTTCACTGAAAGGAGAAGTTTTTCTACAAATTAAATACATAAGTGAAACAGCCTTGACAGGTTTGTTACAAATAATTAAAACATAATCATCTGTTTTGTTTCTTTGTAAATGCTACCTCATAAGTAATGAAACAGTATTTCACTTTATGTAATGGGACTTAAGGTTAACTTTTAAACTCGTTATTGGCTGGTGGACTAGATGGCCATTGTGATCTACTTGAACCTAAAATTTAATAATTATAGGCTGATCTAAAATAACCTATGATAGATGTATCTTGAGCTGCGGTCAGAGGTCTGGTTATTTCCATTAAATATACCAATCTGTATTTTAAAACTTGATGGCTGAGTAGCTCATATTAGATAAGACTTGCCACAGAAAACAACAATAAATTCTGGACAAAATTATTACCTGAAAACACTGTAGAGTGACTAAAACCAAGCACATAAGGAAGAGATGTCCAAAGTGGAAAGAAGGCCTATTACTAAGTGAAAGAAGCCAATCTGAAGAGGTTACATAGCATATGATTCCAACTAAATGACTTTCTGGAAAAGGTAAAATTATGGAAATAGAAAAGAGATAAGTGGTTGCTGTGGTGGGAAGGATGGATGAATAAGTGCAGCATAGAGGATTTTCAAGACAGTGAAAATATTTTTTATGATACTCTGATGATGGATACGTATCATTATGCATTTGTCAAAACCTATAGAATGTACAAGAGGGAATCCTAATAATGTAAACTGTTGTCTGCAGGTGGTAATGATGTGTCATTATAGGGTCACTGATTACAAGAGATGTACCATTGGTGCAGGATGTTAATGGTGGAGGAAACTGCATATGTGGGAGCAGGGGTTATATGGGAATTCACTGGACTTCCTGCTTAATTTTGCTATGAACCTAAAACTGATCTAAAAAATTCCATTAAAAAAATTTTTTTTTCAGTAAGGGAATGGCTCTGGGTGAGTTCCCTGTTTTGCTTTGTTTATTGTTTTTTGTGTTTTTAAGGCTATTAGATTAAGGGTAGGGTACAGTGTGTTCCATGCAGGGAAGCTAAAATCTCTAGTCTTTTTTGACTTCAAGACTGGAGAACAGAGATTAAGGCAGCTCCAACTCCTGAGAAGTCAGAAAATAGCCAGAAAAGAGATAGAGGAGGAGAGGTGATTTTGTATATAAACTCTTCCCAAATCTCTGGCTTATCCCTGAAATACAAGCTCACATGGAAGACTTTAAGCAGCCCACCTAAGTTAAAGTAATTGATATTTTAGCTGTAAAATGGGGAGACACATTTTATAGTTTGAGTTTAACCAAGTTAACTGCTTGTTAAAGCAATACAAAAAAAAATCAATACTCTTTGGTAGGACATAACAGAATCCAGATTCTCCATAATATAACATTCACAATGTTCAGGATACAATCCAAAATTATTTGATCTTGGAAGAAACAGGAGAATATTGTCCATACTTAAAAGAATACATAGTAGATTCCACCCCTAAGTTTATTCACATACAGTTAGCTGACCAGGATTTCAAATCAGCTGTTTCAAATGATGATATAAATGATATAATTGATATAATGATATAAATTAATAAATGATAAATTCATGAAAGAAATGAATTAAAAGATAGAAATTCTCAGCAAGAAACTATTAAAAATTGGAACTTTGAAATCATCACATATTGAAAAATATAATATGTGAAATAAAAATTTGCTGTGTGAACTTTATAGCACATTGTGATTACAGAAAAAAGAATCAGTGAACTTTAAGATCAGTAGAAATTGTTCACTTTGAAGAGGTAAAATAAACACTCTAAAATAATTAACAGAGCCCTAGCATCCATAGGAAGAATGAAAATGCACCATAAATGATAAATATGGGTAAATATAAAAGACTGTCTTTTTTCTTTGAATTAAAAAAAATCACCTGACTTAAAGATTTATTATAAAGTCACAGTAATCACGTCAGTGTAGTAGTGGTATATGGACCAACAATAGATCAATGGAACAAAAGAGCTTAGCAAATGACCCCTATTTATGAGATTATTTCATTGTTGACTAAAGCACCAAAATAATCAAATGGGAAAAGCAAAGTCTTTCAACAAATTGTTCTAGAACAGCTGACTACCCATAAGGGAAAATATACCTCAACTCCTACATCACATTGTGTCTAAAAATTAATTCAAGATAAATAATATAACTAAGTATGAAAGCTAAAACTGTAAAGAAGAAACATAGGAAATTATCTCCATGAATTGGTCATAAATGAAGGTTTCTTGGACAGGACACAGAAGAACTACGAAAGACCCAAAATTGATGAATTAGAATTCATCAAAATTAAAAACTCCTGTTCATCCAACGATGCCACAAAGAAAATTAAGCAGTGAGGCAGAGAGAAAATATTTAATACCATATGACAAAGTCCTGCTGTTACAAGAATAAAAGTGAGTAACAAAAGGACAAACAATCCAATCAAAAATGACCAAAGGATTTGAGCAGACACTTTACAAGGATAGATACACAAATGGGCAATGAGGACATGAAAAACTGCTCAACACTATCAGTCATAAAGAAAATGTAGATGTCGCCAGTAAATACCTATCAGATAGTTAAAATGAAAAGACTGAAAACAGCAAATGTTGGTGAGGAAGAAGAGCAACTGGAGCTCTAAATCAAAGTGGTGAGAATATAAAATGCTACATATCTACTCTGAAAAAAGATATGACAAGTTTTTTATAAAACTGAAGGTACAACTATCTGATGATCCTGAAATTCTTCTCTTTGGTATTTGTACATCCTAAAGAGGAAAACATATATCCATAAAAATATTTGTTTAAGAATTATTCAGCAGTTTTTTTCAAGCTTTATTGAAAATAGTGTTAAACTGGAAAAAACCAAGAAGGACTTTAATAGAATTTATTGTCAAAAAATAACAAACAATGGAATATAGAATGAACTGCAGACAATGTAGTAATTTGGGTAAAGCTCAAAAATATAATGCTACCTAAAATGGCCTTACACAAATAATACATATTGTATGATTCCATTTATATGATGTTCTAAAATAAGCAAAAATAATCTATAGTGGAAAGAAATCAGAGTGTAGTTACCTTGGAGGGGAGAATTAACTGGAAAAGGGGCACAAGGGCACTTTCTCTGATAATGATAATTCTCTCTATCTTGATGGGGGTTTGGGTTACATAGTGGATGCATTTGTCAAAACTTATCTAATGGTGCATTTGAGATTTGTGCATTTTTTGTAGGTAAATTATACTCAAAAATACATATTTAATGCTAATTTAATGCATACTGAAGTGTTTAGAAGTTGAAGTATACTGATGTCTACAACTTATCTTGAAATGCATAAAAATATTAGACAAATAGATGGATAAGCTATATGATAAAGCAAAATAACAAAGTGTTAATTGAAGAATCTAGGTGGTGTGTATATTTTGTTCACTGTACAGTTCTTCCAACTTTTCTGCATATTTAATATTTTTCTTAGTTAAATATTAGATAAAAGAAAATTCTAGGCATACAACTTCAATTTCATAATTGAATTGTTACATGCCTTCAGAAATGACTTTGTGGCAATGTTCTTTTAAAATTTTTAATTAATTTTAAGAATTGAATTTAGACAAATGCAGATGACTTAAAACAACCGTGTTCTCACTACAAAAAATTGTCATTTTAAAATACTTTTTGAAAAAAAAATATTGTATTTCAAATATAATTGTTTAAACTCTAATATGTGTGCATGTATGAATTATATTATTTCTACATTAAATTTCAAATTTTACATAGATAGTATTTTTGTAGGTATACATTAAAATTGCTTTTTTAATTCAGTGATGTTTTTGAAATCAATATTAATATAAATGAAATATTACATATATGCTAGTGTCTTAGTTCATTAAATCAAAGATGTGAGTGCAGATAGTTTATTTGGCAAATGAAAGTAATCCAGATATAGGAAAGGAAAGGCAGTTAACAAAGTTTGCCCTATAGCAATGGGCAACTGTAGCTTAATCCCATGAGGAAACTCTGAAGAATGGTTTAAAACACATGCTTCAGAATTGCCCATTCAGGGAGTGAGGAAGCTTGGCATAACTCCCAGGTGGCAGTGCTGCTTCTATTCCAGGGAAAAGACTCCTCCAGTGCACATATGCACATGCTGAGAAGTCAGTGGAAGGGCATTGAAAGGTCCAATGCACTCACTGGCTGAAAAATCAGATTACAGTTTTATTACTGTTAGTAACCCCTGGCTTTCAGGCAAGTGTAGCTCATAAACAAGGGCTCTCCTTTATCCTTACTCCCTCTCCCCAGATTATAGAAGTAATACATGTGCATTACCAAAAACACATAGAAAATACTCATTACGTTTAAAAAAGGCAGATAAAAATTATTAGCAATCTCAGTATTAAAATTTGAGTGTACTTTTATTTCCATATCAACCCACAATGGTCACTGAACCCCTACCTTGTGATAGGTATGATATTGTATTCCTAGTTGTAACTCTAGTTTATAAACACTCTAGTTTATAAAACTCTAGAAATACAATATGCAACAAAGCAGTCAAAATTCCTGTCCTCGTAGAGATTACAGCCTAATAAGAAACTGGCAGTAAACACATAGATCAGTAAATGGATAAGAATATTTCTGAGGGTAATAAATGTTATTAAAAATGAAACAGAAAAATGGAATAGAGAAGTGTAAGAGAAGACTGGCTAGAGTGGTCAGCAAAGAACTCTCTGAGGAGGTGACAATTTGAGTTAAGACCTAAATCATAAGAAAAGGCAGCTACTTCTGGGAGACCTTCAGCCAAATTCCCCTTTATGAACCTGAAGTGCCTCCCTCTGTACATATATCTTACAGGCATGGCCATGGGTCATGTTCGGTGAGAAACAGGTTAGTGTGGTTTTCTGAGGTCAGAGTATCATTTCTCCATGTAGAAGTGCTATCTGTGCTTCCTGCCTTTTTCTGTCTCTCTCTATGATTGTGACTTATTACAGCCTATGTGTTCCTATGTGGTTTAACTAAACTAACAGATGGTTGGCTTAAAAGATTC